GCGGGGTACGCGGATCTCCAGCGTGGTATCCCGCATGGCACCGAGTTAGCTCGCTTTACCACGCAACGCACTCCGATTCGTCAAAACTGCTGACTGAACGGTCTTACATGGCGCAATTTTTTAAAATGGCGTTCTGACCCCCAGTTTCTAAATTTTCTTTCAAAAATACCTTCCGAACCCAAATTTTCACTCATTTTTTTCAAAATTATTTTCAATTTCATCCATAACCTTTTTTTTTTTAAACATTCACATAAAATTAAATTTTTATATAATTTTTTAATGTAAAAATATATCTTAGGTCCGGACTCGAATATTAGATAATTAGTAATCTTCAAGATTATACATCCATTCCATTTGATGTTTTGAGTACAGAAATACATCAAACCACAAGACTTCTCCATACATCACAAGGAAATTTACAGCCCTTGTAATGAAACAACTTGAACTACAAGAATATTTTAGTAGCAACTATAAACACATTCAATGGTAAACAATAAACCATAGACACTAGACTTATTAATATGCAAACTATTGAAGATTATCTAGCACCTTCGATCTTCAGTTGGGAGAAAACTGCACTAGCTGTTATTTCTGAATCACCGTCCTCTTCTTTGTCATCTTTCTCGAATGGGAAGTTGATCGAAGCCAAGCGCCCCACAACAGGCAATCCTAACTCGAATGAGGCATCCATTGTGCTATCCTCGTGTGGCTCTCTTCGAACTTTATTTTGTTGCATCTGCAATGCGTATTCCAAGTCCCAGAGTACATCAAGCATAGTAGGCCTATCAGCTCCATTTGCCCTCAGACATTTCTCAACTACTTCACCAAAAATTCTCAGTGAGTTAGGATTTATATGATCCACCAACAATGGGTCAATAATCTTTTCAAGTTGCCCTTTCTTGTGCCAGAACAAACCCCAGTCAGCTAAGTTCACCTCCTGTATCTTACTCGAGGTAATAATGGCAGGTCTAGCACAAAGCACTTCAAGAAGAACCACACCAAAAGAATAAACATCAGATTTTTCTGTGAATTGAAAGCTTGTGAAGTACTCAGGATCTAGATAACCAAAGCTGCCCTTAATTCCCATGCTGAAATCATCAGGATCAGGAGGACCTGACCTTGAAAGACCAAAGTCAGCAACTTTAGCCACATAGTTTTCATCGAGCAAGATGTTTGTCGACTTCACATCTCGATGAATAATTCCCCCATCTGATCCTGTGTGAAGGTAATGAAGGCCCTTTGCAGAACCAATGCAAATTTCAAGCCGTTCCTTCCAAGTTAACCCAGAAAGTGCAGATTGCTTCTTCTCATTACTGTTGGAACTATAGAGATGGTCTCTTAAAGTCCCCTTCTCCATGAACTCGTACACCAGTATCATCTCCGCACCCTCATCACAATAACCAATCAAGGAAACAAGATGACGATGGCAGATTTTGGAGAGCACAATAATCTCGGTGTGGAACTCCGGGAGGCCTTGTCCATGTCTTGAGTCACTTCTCTTTACAGCTACTTTCTTTCCAGTCTTAAGAACCCCCTTGTAAACTTTGCCAAATCCACCTTCACCAATCAGCAACTTAGAATCAAAGTTGTGGGTTGCCTCCAAAACTTCAGCAAATGATATCTTTAGTTTGAGGTTCAAGTTTGGGACAGGAGAGGAAGTTATAGTTCTATCACTCACCCTACTATAGAGACTACCGCCTTGTCCTCCTTGGTAAGGAAGCATAGCCTCAGATATTATAGTCTCAACTTGCTTACCTTTCCTCCATTTCAAACCCAAAAATACCATCACCATCAACACAAACAAAGAACACACAGCAGAAACTAAAGGAATAATGATATGTAGGATTTTCTTATTCTTAGCCTTGGTTAGCTGAAGAGCCAGATGGGATTCTTTCATGAACTCCATAATCTCTAACCCATTCAGATATGCAAATGTTTGTATGGTGCTTTCATTATCAGATGCAAGGCTAATGCTAACATTTAAGAATCCAGTGTGATCAGACTCAACAACAAAATCATAATAAAAAGGGACACCTGTGTCAGAAAGATCTCCATTGGCATACGGATTTATATTCTTTCTGAAGTTTCCATAGATATAGAGACTGAAATTAAGCATATTAGCTGAGGAACTCTGTGTATCACAAAAATGTACCCTGACAAGAAGACCAGTATTTTGACTCACATTGAATCTCCAAGTTATGTTAGGAGAAACCCCATTTCCTGCTTCCACTTTCTTGCAAGTCTTGTAAACAAGATCAGGGATAACATTCTCCTCAGGCTGTTTCTTCAACTCGCCATATCTAAGTCTGTCATTATATAAACTGCAGTTTTGAACAGAAGAACCTCCATTAACAACATATTCATCATCCGGTACCCAACCCAGTGTCACCGTTGGTGAGTCATTGATTTCTTCTCCTCCCACATTAACCCTGTAAACGGTTTGTAAACCCTGAGAAACCAAACCCTTGTAGACACCATCACTTCCTCCCGAAGTAACACGCGGAGCATCGTTGATTATAAAATCTTCAGGAGCAAGAAACACTTCAATGGCGTTCACAAAAGCAACAGAGGTTCCATCAGCCGGAGCAAAATATATACTGAGAGTATTATCCTTGGCTCTCAGCAAGAAATCCGTAATTACAGGAAATTCATGGCTGTTCCGTACAGTAAAATTGGATAAGAGAGAAAAATTAGAAGCCCAAACATGAAACACTGAGTCCACAAGGTTTATCCCCCGGTGCGACGTGAAGGGAAAGAAATGGAGGCGGATGAGATAAGTGACATTTTCAGTGATGTTCTTGAAATCAAAGGAAGATGGGTTTCTGTAAATTCTCGCTGTTCGATAAAGTGGCAGAGACGGGTCTGCTGCGTCGTTTACGACAGCTTCACTTGCTCCGACGGAGAAGGAACCATGAGAACTGTCAACAATGAAGTTCCGGCCAGCGAGAGTTATCGGAACTGTCGAATCTGAACCACAGTCGATGAAGTACTGCTGAGGAAGGATGTAAGACGATGAGAGTTGCAAAAGAAATAACAGAGTGAAGAAGAGGAAAGCAGGAAAATTTTTCATGGCGATTTCGAGGTTATTTTTCTTCTGGTTTCTTGCTCAATTGGGTTTATGATTTGAGTAATGATTAACAACGTTTTGATCATTGGAGTAGCTGGAAATGGTAGTTAAGCCATCATAAATGGAAGCAGAAGACTTTGTGTTGACTTATGCTTGGATTCTTGCAATTCAGAATCAGCCTCATCTTGCATATATGTATTGACGTAGTAATATCATATTTCTAATATCTTGGCCCGTGAAATGTTGGTCACAAGATTTTTTTAAACATAACAATGAAATACTTGCATAAAATAAAATTATATCAATAATATTAAATTTTAAATTAAGTGAAACAAATATTAATGACTATACAAATTCTTGAATAGTGCATATGACAATGCAAATTTTTAATAAAAATACATGTTAACTTTATAACTTGAATCTAACCCTCTTTACAATGATATATGATATAATATATGACTCAAACTCATATTTTATTAAAAATTATAGAAGTACCTACTATCATGTAAAGAATAAATATTTAATATTATATTAATAAACAAATAAAATTGTAAATTTATATAAAAATTTATTCTAAAAATAGGAAAAAAAAAACGTAGTAAAATGAAGATAATATATATGCATAATGCAAATTGGTGGTAGTAGAATATTTTTTACTAATATTTATTAATTATTTAAATTTTAAAAAATTATTTGATTATTATACGATGTTATAAGTTCTATTTTCGTATATTTTTATTACATTATTTCTTATCATTCTCTTTTACTTTTAAAGTTGGATAAAAGGAAAAAAGATATCAACGAATGATAAGATTTAAAGAAATAATATAATTTAAGGACAACACACATGCTAGAAGATGGTTGAAGATATATGGATGGAACAAGAAATACCTACAAATATTTATTCAAAATAAAAAATACTAGAAATTCACTTAAAAGACAAAATACGGAGTATTTTGAGAATATTCGATAAAACTAAAATAAACAGAGGTAGTTTTTAAAAAAGTTCAAAAAGACAAATCTATAAGAAAAAATTCAAAGAGAGAAAGAGTCTTACAATAGAGCTAAACGAGATTCTAAAAGATAAAAAATTCTATGGAAGCAAAAATCGATGCAATTGATAGAACTAACAGAAGAAGAAATTCACACCAATAGTTAAATGAGCTACCAAATTTAATTTTTGTAGTCAATTAATAAACTTGTACTAAATGATATTTTCAGTTATTAATGCTATTACTTTATTTAAAAAAAATTGATTTTATTAAATATAAAAAATTATTATTTATTATTTTACACCACTACTCAAAAGAAAAAAAACAATTATTATCTTTCACCCATAATAAACTAATGAGATATGCTTCGGTAGTATTTAATTTTTATTAAGAAATTATTTAAATTGAAATTAATAAATATATTTTTTAATTATAAATTAGGTAATTATTTTTAAACAATATGCAAAGCAAAATTCATTGAATGTTACAACGCCTTAGATGTTATTTGAATTTTTTTTTTTAATTTTATAAGAAACATTTTTTTAAAAAAGTCATGTGCACATTCTTATATTTTTAAATATGAATAAATACAAATTTAAAATAAAAAAAATAAAATTATAGAAAATGGAAGAAAGAATAGAGAATAAATAAAAACATAAAAATTATTTAAAGTAATAAAAAAAATCACATCTGAAGAAATAAATTGTTAAAAATAATTAGTTTAAATAGCAAGACAAAATTATAATTTGGATTTAATCTTTAGTCCCAATTTACTACCTCTTTTATTTTTTAATTTTAATTATTTGTCATTACGTTGAATTTAAGGCATACACTGTAATTTGTTGTCGTACGACAACAGTCTATCAATTAGATAGCTTTGAACTTTCTTTGATTAAATTTATACTTTATGTTTTTTTAAGTATTATGTATGTTTCTTCTTCCACATATATATATATTATGTATGTTACATCTGTTTTGACTAATGGGCACTGTGACATTCTATCTATTGAATTCGTGCAAGAAAACATTAAAATGAATTAATTAATTAAGGTAAGCAAAAATCTTATCTTGATTTTGGTTTAAACTTTTAAAAGTATTTTCTTTTATTTTTTTGAACCTTAGTATATAATATGCATAAACTAATCGTAATTTATATATTTTATACATAAATATATTTAGAAATCTACGAAATTTACTTAAAACATGTAAAGTGTCAGTGAGATTCAAAAACTACTTATAAGATTTAAAAAATTAGATTATGTAGTATATCTTTTAAGACAATTGGATTTGGATCACGGCTCCAACAAGGTCTACAATGCCAAGTTTGCCTACGGAATTCTTGCTTCTAAATACTTTAGTCCTCTTGTGAATTATTCTCACTAGAAGCTCTTCTAGAAGCCTAGACTTTAAAAGAAGCACAAAATGCTTTGGTGAAGAATATTGAATCTGTAACGGCCCCGGAAATTTAAAATGAAATATATGTATTAAAAATGTCAAATGCGGAAGCGAAGTCAAAATTTCAATTAACATCCCTTACACTAAAACCAAAAACGTGCTCAAAATATAAAAAATCAAACTAACTAAAGGAGAAACTCGAAAGTAAAAGCTATGAATATGAGTATGGAGTCTTTAGGCGTCCACTTCGTCGTCTTCCTGCGGAACGAGCTCGGGAACAATGTCTTCCTGATATGAAATGATTAAATAAGGAATGAGCTACACTATCCCAGTAAAGACATCACGATATCTCACCGTCACGGAGGTAAAGGTGGGTAGAAAACACAAAAAGACCAATGGAGCATAATTTATAACAAATCCTTTTATCAATAATAAAACCTTTACCATCCACTTATCTCGGTGAAATTTATAAAACTGTATACGAAAGCAATAACATTATCATCATCATGAAATCATATAAACTGTATAACATAATACTTATCACGCCTTTTGTAATTCAATCATTACACAACATATTTTTCCTTATTTACCAGGCTACTAGTATCCATGGGGATCCATAGGGGTCCCGCTACCCGTGAACCCTTAACACTTGTAATCAGATTCCAAGGCCGTCCCCATACCCCGTCCGGTATGGGCGCCAAAACTATAAACCTCAATACCCCATCCGGTATGAGGGTGAAACGGGCCGTCCCCATACCCCGTCCGGTATGGGCGCCAAAACACATAAGGTCTTCATACCCCGTCCAGTATGAGAGACCACAATTCCGGTAGGGTTCCCTACGGACCCGGTCCGTCC